CTGTAGCCCTCCCCCTCCTTTGATACACCGTCGTCTCCATCGCCTCTCGTCTCGATAAAACCGCTTGCAGCGGGAACTTTCAACAGGCGAGTCATGGTCGGCGGTCACTCGGCGCTGCTGGCTATCCTCGGACTCGCTATCCGAAAACTCGTTCCGGATGACCAGGGCAGCATCAAGCGGTTCTACCTGCGCATCTGGGATCTCTTCTACCTCGAGTACGCCATGTACCCGTTCATGTAGTCGTCTTCGTCGACATATACCCGTTCGTGTGGTGTCGTCTTCGACATGTACCCGTTCGTGTAGTGTCGTCGTCGACATGTGCGTGTTCATGCAGTGTCTTTGTCGTCGTGGCCATGCAGCCTGCCGAGTGACGCTCGGTGTGCAACGTGTCGAGTACAGAGTCGTATGATAGCAGCTCAGACATTAGTGGGTACCTCAGCAGAAGGGGACTCCGATACAAGAGGGTCCAATTGGCTGTCTCGGACTCGACCCGCTGTAGTATAGTTTAGGTACCCTCTTGTTCGGGCGTAAGAGGGGGCTCCGATGTTGGAGGGGCGAGGGATCTTTGTCGCACCACCCGCTTTTGTCGGAGCCGTGACTGTGCGCCCTTGTAACCGGTTTCTGTGTTGTCGGCGGCGGCGGCGGCGGCCGGGTGGCTCTCGATTTATAACGGGACTTTGACGTCTGCACTCCCAGGTGGGGTGCACGCGGCTCACAACCACCGCTTCGGAATCGATAGTTAGTTCTTGTTGTTTCTCTTTGTTTTGCGCCGGTTTGCCTGTGCAGTGACTGCGGGCGTGCTGGAGGAGTAGTTCTGCCTGTCATGAATTCTGGGTTGCTGTTTTTCCTCGAAAAGCGGGATCTGCCCACCCGGAAGTGTGGGGCAATGCCCGAAATAAATATCGAGATATCTAGGTATCTCAAGCCCGCACCATCATGTCGGACTGGATGTTGCAGCAGGGTTTTTCGAGATCGTACTTGTACCGGGCTGCGTGACCCGATTGCAGTCAGCTCACCATCCACCTGTTGTTGTTGTGTTGGTTAAGGAATGCACACATTGGAAATTGGGTTGATCCAAGGCACGTTTTTTGCTGAAAGCGGAGGGACGTCGAAGGGCGGGTGCTCGCTCTCCCGTAACGGTCGAGTTAGAGAAGAAATGACAAGCATGCTAAATAGACTAGAAGATGTCATTTTTTGTTGGGGGCGGGCAAGAGCGGGATGTAGATGCGATCGAGCCCTGCCGAGAAACGGGCTCTGTTTATCAGAAATATGTATCAAGGGCCGAACCTTGTCCTTTGAGGCATTTTTCCGTGGCGTTAACACAGCTGGGGGGGGGGTAGCGCGACGCCGACATTTTAGGCAGCAGCTGCGTTCGCTCGCGATATTTCAAGACCGGGTTGACATCGGTCGCTGCTCTATCTTGCAGGGGGTCCCTCGCAACATGTCCATGTGCCGATGCTTGGGTGATACCAACAGGCACACTCAGGACCGTCTTGCGAAGCAGGTGCCCTCAGTTTCCCACTGATGATGTTTTGTTCATCAGCACCACATACATGAGTACCTGGGTCTCCGCCTGTGCGGGATAGGCAACATGCAATCAACACAACGAGCCGACAACGACGGATCTTGAATCAAGCATCGAGGCAAAATCGACGACGATCCATCGTGTTCTACAGCAGTCGAAACCAAACCCTTCGACTAGCCAGCGCGCTTTTGTAGTCTCATGGTTTCATTTCGGCTTGCATCGTTCACAACGGGTTGCAGGCGGCAAGGCACCCTTACCACCTACGGAGTAGATGACACCGTGAAGCATGAATGAACGTCCCAACGACACCCATGTGTCCATGTCGACCGAACGCTTGGTAAGACACATGCTGCTACTGTTGAAGAAGCAAAGTCTTCACTGCACCCTCCCGTGGCAGTGATACGACCGCCGCCCTAGTATTAGCAGTCATCCGCGACCACCAAGCACTCTTCCTCGAGTGTCGGTCGCTGTTGCTGCTGTTGGAGGCAGCCGCTGTTGTTGTTATCTTCACATTGTAGACCAGACCGTTCCGGTTTCTACTCAGTACCTTCAAACATACACGGAATACCGGCGGTCCAACTGACGAGGACGGACCCCATTCCGTGGTTAAAGGTTAACTACCCAGGAAAGGGTGCGCATTTCAAAACTACCCCTGGGGAAAGCTAACAAGAGCGGGCAGGCCCCCGAAAACTCATCACGAACTCAACAACACACGTAGAGCGCGAAACAAACCACAAAGGAATGATAGATGCGGAAAGGTCCCAGCCTCACTAGAACTGTTCGCAGCAGTCAGACGTCGCCATGAATTATTTTCGGGCGACAGGAGACAGACGCAAAAAAATACAGAGACATCATCGATCGCTCCCGCTCGGGACGCGATGCCAAACAAAACTACAAAGAAAAATCAAAGGCCACCGGTCAATCACGAAACAATCGAGAACGGTCTCATGAACTCTATCCTTGTACCCCTTCTGGGCCGGGTGCGTTCACCGTCGGGGGTTACACCTGCCATGCCATGCCATGCCATGCCATTCCACACATAGACTAAACATTTACCTAAAAAATGCACGTGTGGGCGGCTACTGTAAGATTACGACAATTGAGATACCCGACACCAGCCAGTCAGTCCTGCCCGTGCTACACCCCGCACAGGTGACCCTGCATGCTCCACCTCCACACGGACAAACAACCTCCGTATAGAAACATATGTATTATATGTATGCGCCCAATCACAAAGAATATATGGTTTTGTCGATAAAAATCCGCGTCACCCCCTCGTCCACAAGCCTTAGCCCCCCCCGCCGTCGACACGGCGCGCACACTACGAACGAAAATATATAAAACGTCATGCTGACCCTCACAGCCCCAGCCTGCGCTCTGCAATCTACAACAAGACCTTGCTGCCTTCCGTACATAAAAATCAACGCCATTCTTTTCGGTGCAGCCACCGCCAGCACTTCCACAGGATCCCCTCCACACCCCCCGCCTGAACTGAACGAACACAACACAACACGTGTGTGATTCCTAGTGTGTACGCGCATCGAACCAAGCCAACCTTCTCGCGTATTTTTGTTCCCCCTCTTCGTGAGCCTACAGGCATAGCTCTCGTCCCAGCCATGGGCGTGAGAAACAACCCCCCCCCCCCCCACTACCACCGTCAGAGCACAACATACACCGCGGCGGCGGCGTCGACAGCGATCACGACAACGCCATCAACACCAGAACCAGACTGCAACTGTTTGCCGCCCAACGCATCACGGTCGTTACATTCTTTGGACCCGGGCCGACGACTCCAACTCATCCATGCCCAAGTAGCACCCCACCATACGTCTTCGTCCCTGGAAGTGTGGTGATCGTAATGACAGCGCGGGCAAGCGATGGTGGCGTGTTTCTTTTTTAACAGCGTCGACGTCGACAACCGGCTCACCAAACGAAAAGACGTCAGCCTCAGTGAGTGCGGCTGAAAATCAACATGCTGAGTGTGTGTGTTCGTGTTCGTCCCACCCATTGGGGGGTGGGAGGGAAACAAGGGAAGGGGGATTTCTCGTCACGTGCATGCACCTTTCAGAAGAATTGTGAGCACACTCACTCCTGAGGGATTACTTGCATTTACAATTAATATTCTTTCCCATCCCGCTCGTCCAAGCAGTGTGGCACCAGAACCTAAACTGGTATAGTCAACTTAAACTGGTAAAGTCAACCTAAACTGGTATACTGTAGCCAACCTAAACTGGTAAACTGTAGCCAACCTAAACTGGTATAATGTAGCCAACCTAACCTGGAACAGTCATTCACCGAGAACTTGGAAATATGACGTCACTTTTTGACCGGATTAAAGTCCAAACCTTGAAAGACTCCCGGCCGTGCAACGCTCGGTGGTTGTTCAGAATCACGCACTCTCCGGGCTCGAGAACGATGCGTGCCACCAACGACGGGTCCCTTGGGGGCGGGACGGAACAAAAAAAAATACAGTCTCGCGTTTCTGTCACAGGATTTCTGTGCCAAAACTGCTGTCACAAACATCGTTGTCTTGTCAAAACTGCGTTTTCCGTCACAAATTTGATTTGTGTTTCTGAGAGTCGGGTCAGAAAAAAAAAATCTGCATTTGGGGTTGGAGTTGGACGAAACAAAAACATGCGGAACAACATCGGGCAGAACAAAATTGGGCGGAACAACATCATCAGACGGACCTGGGTAGAGCAAACAAGAGAACGACGACGACGATGGTTGATGCAGCACGTACCTTTTGGTGGGGGTCAGTGTCAGGTAAGCGGTTGTGCCCCTTTGTGAAGATAGCAGGAGCAGCAGCAGCAGCAACGACGGTTGCTCAATGCGAAGGCAACAACAGCGATAGAAGCTATTTACTGTTTTCTTGTCAGCAACCCTCACGGACACCGACACGAATAGACCTTGCTTGGAAGCAGACCAACACACTTTTTCTGGTGATCACGTGTACGTCGCACGGCAGCAGCAGCAGCAGCCGTTTTCCAAGTCGTTCTCGTGAAAGACGGGAAAGCTTCACACCACCCTCACCGTATGATTTTGGACAAGGACGCGTGGTACTCGTAGAAGCGGTCGATGTCTTCGTTCGACAGGTAGTCCAGCGGTGCTCGATCGTAGTCGTTGTACCTCACCTACGTACGCAGGACAGGGCAAAGGATAGGACAGGAGCAGAGAGACACAGACGC